TGGGGAGCAGGTTATTTACATAGTCTCAAAGTATCTCCCCTTTATAGATGCTTGTACATAATAAGTACATACTTATTAATCATAAGGAGAAAAAATGCTAATGTTACATGGAGAAACCTGGAAGTACCACTTTAAGCCAAGTGATCAAAGTCACACATCACCAGTCATGACACATTGTCTCCTGATGAGATGCACTGAGAGCACCACATTCCTTACATTGTATTACTTCCAAAAGTATACAATCTAATCATGAAGAAACGTTAGGCAAATCCACATTAAAAAATAAATGGCTCATACTTTTAAGAAATGTCAGTATCTTGAAAGACGAAGGAAGGCTGAGGAACCTTTTCACATTTAAGGAAACTAAAAAGACTTGACGTGTAAATGTAAGGTGCAATCCTGAACCAGGAAAAAAGAAATTGCTGTAAAGGATATTAGTGAGACAATTGTCAAAATTTGAGTAAAGTCTGTAGATTAGATGCTCATATTGCATTAATGTCAAGCTCCTTGATTTTGATAATTATAATTTGGTTAAATAAGTGAATCTCTGTGTCCTAAGGAAACATATGCTGAAGTATTTGAGGGTAATGGGTATGATGTTTACTACGTATTCTAAGTGGCTCAGGAAATTTTTTTTATACATATAAAGATAGAACAATAAAGCGAATGTGGCAAGATGTTGGCAATTAGTGAATCTGGGTGAAGTGACCTATTGTTGCAACTTCTCTGTACGTTTGAAATTATTTTTTAAAAAGATCTTCCTAAGTTATACCTGGGAGTGAAATTGCTAGGTCATAGGCTCTGAAGGTCTTTGAATTTACTGGCTAGTGCCAAGTGGTTTTCCAGGATGGTTGTACTAATTACATTCCGTTGTTCCACATCTTTACCAGTACTTCACATTATCAGATTAAACATCTTTATCAGGCTTAGGGGTATGAAGGAGTATCTCATTGTGGCTTTTTTTTTTTTTGAGACAGGGTCTCGTTCTGTCACCCAGGCTGGAGTAGTGCAGTGGTGCAATCTCAGCTCACTGCAACCCCTGCCTCCCGGGTTCAAGTGATTCTACTGCCTCAACCTCCCCAGTAGCCGGGATTACAGGCGTGTGCCACCATGCCTGGCTAATTTTTTGTATTTTTAGTAGAAACGGATTTTCACTGTGTTGACCAGGCTGGTCTCAAACTCCTGACCTCACGGGATCTTCCCACCTCAGCCTCCCAAAGTGCTGGAATTACAGGTGCAAGCCACCATGCCTGGTCTCACTGTGGTTTTGGTTTGCATTTCTTTGATTATAGTGAAGCAGAACATACTTTCAAATGTTTCATCAGTAAGGCTACTCTTTTATGAATTGCTTGCTATATTCTTAGCCATTTTTAAAACAGAGTTCTTTGACACTTTTAAATTAATTTATTTTATGTATTAATATATTCTGGAAATTAATCCTTTGTCGACTAGATACATTGCAGTTACCTACATACTTTTGAAAGATGCTTAGCTAAAATATAAAATTGAGTTATATTTTATTTAAGTTACACAGAATAAACTAGGTAAGAAGGCAGAGAAAACATTGCACAACAAGTGTGTAGGAGCTGGAGGGCTGGCATTGTTTGCAGATCTCTTCTCTCTTGGCTCAGTCTAATAATATGGGGCAACTTGAACTTGCATTCTTATCTCTGGCCCCTCTGAAAAAGGTTATTTTTAGGAAGGCTGTCTGTTGTCCCCAGTGTATTTCATTCAGAAATTCGCTGAAGAATGTATTCTTCCCTCTTGCTGTAACGAAACTCTTGCACTGCTAAATACTGGCCAGTACTTGGATTGAGTAATGGGCTTTGAGTGGTATTGCAGTGCCTGTAGAGCAAGAGGGTAATTCAGTAGGCACGCTATCATGGTTCATCCTTTAATACTAATTAAACCTCTTTTGGAGATGGTGAAAAAAGATTAAACCACTTAGACTTGACTTCTGAAAAAGAGAACCTAGTAATCATTCAAGAACTTACTTTTTTCCTTCCTTCCCTCCCTTCCCTCCCTCCCTTTCCTCCCTCCTCTCCTCTCCCTCCTCTCCTCTCCTTCCTTCCTTCCTTCCTTCCTTCCTTCCTTCCTTCCTTCCTTCCTCTTTCTTTCTTGTCTTTTCTTTCTTTCTTTCTTTCTTTCTTTCTTCCTTCCTTCCTTCCTTCCTTCCTTCCTTCTTTCCTTCCTTTTCTTTCTTTCTCCTTCCTTCCTTCCTTCCTTCCTTCCTTCCTTCCTTCCTTCCTTCCTTCCTTCCTTCCTTCCTTTCTTTCTTTCTTTCTCTTTCTTTCTTTCTTTCTTTCTTTCTTTCTTTCTTTTTTCTTTCTTTTTCCTTCCTTCCCTCCTTCCTTCCCTCCCTCCATCTCTCTCTCTCTCTTTCTCTTTCTTTCTTTCTTTCTTTCTTTCTTTCTTTCTTTCTTTCTTTCTTTCTTTCTTTCTTTCTTTCTTTCTTTTCTTCCCTCCCTCCCTTCCTTCTTTCCTTCCTTCCTTCCTTTCTCTCTTTTCTTTTCTTTTCTTTCTTTCTTTCTTTCTTTCTTTCTTTCTTTCTTTCTTTCTTTCTTTCTTTCTTTCTTTCTTTTTCTTTCTTTCTTTCTTTCTTTCTCTCTCTCTCTCTCTTTCTCTCTCTCTCTCTCTCCCCTTCCTTCCTTCCTTCTCTCCCTCTTTTCTCCTTTTCTCTTTCCTTCTTTTCCCTTCCCTTTCCTTCCTTTCCCTTCCCTTCCCTTCCCTTCCTTTTCCTTCCCTCCCCTCCCCTCCCCTTCCCGTTCCATCTCATTTTGTCACGTAGGCTGGAGTACAGTGGCATGATCACAGCCTACTGCAGCCTCCATCTCCTGGGCTCAGGTGATCCCCCTGCCTCAGCCCCCCAAGTAGCTGGGACTACAGGCACATGCCACCATGCCCAGCTAATATTGGTATTTTTTGTGAGGACAAGTTTCACCATGTTGCCCAGGTTGGTCTCAAACTCCTGGGCTCAAGTGATCCGCTCACCTTGACCTCCCAAAGTGTTGGGATTACAGGCATGAGCCCCCATGCCCAACCCCTATTGCTCTAATTCTTAAGGTGACTAGGTATAAACTTTGCATGTGGGACAAAAACAAACTCCAAAGTACCCATATATCCCAAACCTAAAATCATAAAACATTAGCCCTGTAAGAAAACTAAAATTGTTTCCATTCTCTCAGTTTATAAAAGACATCAGTCATGGAGCTGGTGGTTGTCCTAAACAGGACTTGGCTTTTGACTCCAGGTCCTCTTTCCTTTCTTCTCTAGTATTAGTCCTTCCAAAAACTGGACTATTACAGCTCTTTCTACTGATACACATATAACTCTTCCTAGGGATAGGTAATATAGCACTGTCCATTTTCCTCATTGATTTCCTCATAAACTGGAAAATGAGGTGATCAAAAAAGATCTTCTTTCAGGGAATTTAACATCTTAATCACTATCTCAAAAGAAAATATTTTTCTTTGTAGTCTAATGTCAGAAGTAACCTTTTGTGATACACCCCAAAGGAAGCAATGAATGATCATATGACTGTGAATGTAGTTACTCTTTATCCTTTGAAGACTTTCTCATTTTTTGTACTTAGTAGTTAGAATTGAATGACAGCAGTCATTTTTCAATTCATAAAAACTCATGCTGCTTTAAAAATCATTGGATTATTTTCCTGATGGAAAATACAATAACAACATAGAGAGGAAAATCTAATCCTATTTTCTAGAAATAAATACTTAATGTTTTCATTTTGACATTTTTTCTGTGTATAGTAGTTCATAGAGTGAAGCTATAGTTTTAGATTCTGTCTTTTCTTGATTAACGTTATAGTATTTAGTAATGGATGCATTTTATATCATTGTGTGGATTAATTATAATGAAGAATGCTATAGTGAACACCCTTGCCTACATTTGCCTACATTTCTAATTATTTTCTGATGACAGATTCCTAGAATTGGAGTTATTGATCATCAGCAAAACTATCTTCAGTCTTTTCATGCCAAACCAACTTTGACCAAGTTGCTACTACTTCCATACTTGTACAAGTTGAATATGAGAGTACCTGTGTCTTGCAAGTCATTGATTTTATCATTGAATAAAATGCTGCTGATTTGCTACTGTAAATAGGTCTTTGTCTAATTCACATTTCTTTTTTCACTAATGAAAAGTTCTATGATATTAACTATTAATATTTATGTTGTTTCTGTGAACTTTGCTTACTCTTATGCAGGAGGCTGTGTTTTTCTTATTAAATAATTTTCATATATTAAAAAATCGGCTGGGTGCGGTGGCTCACTGTAATCCCAGCACTTTGGGAGACCGAGGGAGGCAGATCACAAGGTCAGGAGATCGAGACCATCCTGGCTGACACGGTGAAACCCTGTCTCTATTAAAAATACAAAAAGTAGCCAGGCGCCTTGGCTGACGCCTGTAGTCTGAGCTGCTCGGGCGGCTGAGGCAGGAGAATGGCGTGAACCCGGGAGGCGGAGCTTGCAGTGAGCCGGGATCGTGCCACTGCACTCCAGTCTGGGCAACAGAGCAAGACTCCATCTCAAAAAATAAATAAATAAACTTTTTGCCGTTTACAGTAAATCTTATGCCATTTTGCTTGTTTTTTGATTTTATGGTTTTTGTCAGGGAGAACAGAAGTCTTTGTTTTTACACAACCTAGAGCTATACTTGGGGATAATTATTTTTGTGTGCATGAGTTCTTTGGCTAATGGTACACAGGGAAGAAATCCAAGCAAGAGGATTATGGAGGACCGAAACTCCTCTTTATAATTAACAAAGATCATGGGGTAGAGACCATTTCATGCAGACACAGTGATTTCACCCCTTTTCCCACTGCAATTGTTTGTCTCTTACTTCTGAAGATGGCTGATGTCACCCGTTAAACTTATTTACTTGTTTTGCGTATTTAACTTCTACACAGTTAAAGTTTTCCCTTTGGTCAATTCTTCTGTCCTATGGCATTTTCTTATGTCCTGATGCTTTCTTTTAAGGTATTATCCAAAGAGATGAGTCACCCATGGAAAAAGGGCTCTCTGGTCTACGAGGAAGGGACTTTGAGCTGTCTGACGTGTTTTATTTCTCCAAGAAGGGATTGGAAGCCATTGTGGAAGATGAAGTGACCCAGAGGTTTTCCTCAGAGGAGCTAGTGTCATGGAATCTCCTCACAAGAACCAATGTAAATTTCCAGTACATCAGTCTACGGCTCACTATGGTGTGGGTGCTGGGCGTCATAGTGCGCTATTGTATCCTACTGCCTCTGAGGTAAGTCACGTGCCTGGTAATTTGATGATATGCTTGACTCAGCTTTCTTTTTGAATCATGTACATAGTGGCCACATAAGTGTTCTGTGGTGCTTATTCCACCCATTTCTATGTAGGAAATGCCACCAAACATGACCTCTGCAGGAATGTATTAAGTCTCCATTTCCCTTTCATAATTTTTCCCCAAATGAAGTTGTATATTCAGAATCCAACGTGTATCTTAGAATCTGGATCCACTTTGCTATTAGAGTCCGAGCTAACTTGAGGATGGAGAGAAAAGGGAAGAAGAAGAAAGAAGAAGAAGAAGAAAGGAGAAGAAGAAGGAGGAGGAGGAGGAGGAAGGAAGAAGAAGAAGAAGAGAAAGAAGAAGGAAGAAGAAGGAAGGAGAAGAAGAGGAAGAAGAGGAGGAGGAGGGAGGAGGAGGAAAGGGGGAAAAGAAGAAGAAGGGAGAAGAAAGAAAGAAGAAGAAAGAAAAGAAAGGAAAGGAAAAGAAGGAAGGAAGGAAAGGAAGAGAAAGAGAAGAAGAAGGAAGAAGGAAGAAGAAGAAGGAAGAAGAAGGAAGAAGAAGAAGAAGAAGAAGGAAGAAGAAGGAAGAGAAGAAAGAAGAAGAGAAAGAATCATCAACAATTTCATAACCACTTTTAGAGCATCAACCAACTGTAAGAGCTGACCCAGAACCACTGCACAGCCTGTGCCAGTCCATTGCACTTCACTTAATTGCATAAGAGAAAAAAATTCTTAGGTGGTTACATATTGCATAAGAGAGAAAAAATTCTTGAGTGTGGTTACACATGGGAGACAGCCATTTAGTAGTGTGAGTTTGTTCCATCTAATTCATTGTGATCACGGACTTATCTTATTAAGGGGTCCCCACCTGGGTCCCCTTCTGCTTCGGAGCTTGAGTGCCACCTGCTGAGAAGGCAGTGTCAAGCCTAGTTCATGGAAAGCACGATGTGGAACGTGAGGAGAAGGCACTGCGTGGTGGGATGAAGCTGTAAGTGACCGAGATCTGATTAGCATGGTGGTAGCAGTAGTAGGCATGTATACCAGCCACAACATTATTGTTGATCATCTTGCTTCATTTCCCTGGACATGGGCTTGGCATCCTCTCAGCAGAGCTTTCCAGGCAGTGGCTACCTGCCAACTAAACTTGGCACATGAGTTGAAATCTTTTTACTACCCCCAGGGTGGCCTGTGCTTGCCTCATTCAGATTTATTACCAGGGAAAGTATTGCTTAACTACAGGCAAATGTAGATTTCTAAGAAATCATTTCTTTCTTTTTTTTTTTTTTTTTGCCCATATTGCTAGTTCAGACATTGGGGCATAGTATGTCTTTTGGGAATCGTTTCAGCTGTGATAATGAAGCAAAATTCAAGGTTTCACATACGCTTTTGCTTGAACCTTAAACTAGTGCCCCCAAAGTGGGGTTCATGTACTCTGGGAGTGTACAGGACTATCCATTGGCTTGCAGGAAGGAAATACTAGGGCTCTTATTTATTAAAAGCTTCTGTTCTGGCTGGGCACCATGGCTCACACCTGTAATCCCAGCATTTTGGGAGGCTGAGGTGGGCGGATCACGAGATTAAGAGATCGAGACCATCCTGGCCAACATGGTGAAACCTCATCTCTGCTAAAAATACAAAAATTAGCTGGGTGTGGTGGTGTACACCTGTAGTCCCAGCTACTCAGGAGGCTGAGGCAGAGAATCGCTTGAACCTGGGAGGCAGAGGTTGCAGTGAGCTGTGATTGCGCCACCGCACTCTAGCCTGGCAACAGAGCGAGCATCCGTGTCAAAAAAAAAAAGAAAGAAAAGAAAAGAAAAGAAAAAAGCTTCTGTTCTCTTTATAACTAGTGCCTCCATTTATTCTGTTTTCATTCTTAAAAAGAAAAAGGCCAGGGGCATGGTGGCTCACACCTGTAATCCTAGCACTTTGGGAGGTCCAGGTGGGTGGATCACTTGAGGCCAGGAGTTCGACTGGCCTGGCCAACATGGTAAAACCCCATCTCTACCAAAAATACAAAAATTAGCCAGGTGTGGTGGTACGCACCTGTAGTCCCAGCTACATGGGAGGCTGAGGCAGAGAATTCCTTGAACCCAGGAGTCAGAGGTTGCAGTGATCCAAGATCACGTCACTACACTCCAGCCTGGGTGACAGAGTGAGACTCTTGTCTCAAAAAGAAAAAGAAGTTTGGCCGGGCATAGTGGCTCATGCCTGTAATCCCAGCCCTTTGGGAGGCCAAGGTGGGTAGATCAATTGAGGTCAGGAGTTCTGTATCAACCTGGCCAACATGGTGAAACTCCATCTTTACTAAAAATACAAAAATTAGCCAGGTGTGGTGGCATGTGCCTGTAGTCCCAGCTACTTGGGAGGCTGAGGCAGGAGAAATCACTTGAACTCGTGAGGCGGAGGTTGCAGTGAGACACTGTATTCCAGCCTGGGTGACAGAGTGAGGTGAGGCTCCATTTCAAAAACAAAAACAAAGACAAAAAAATACACGAAGCTTTAGTCAAGTTCAATATATGGATTGGTTCATATCCAAGGTAACCTGAAGGAAGAATGAGGAATTCTACAGCACAGTGCTTGAGATGCCCTTGTTTGTTATTGGTTAGCTTTCACCGTCCTGTGGGGGCCCAGAAAATGCTGTTGTGATTCCCTTATCTACTAAACAAATGCTCACAAAGTAGATAAGTGACTTAAAATATTTTTGCAAAGAAACTGATTTAAGATAATAAATCAATGTAAACATTTATCACTTCTTGGCCTTTGGGCTAAGATCAAGTGCAGTGATATAAGCATCTGAGAACAAAAAGAAAATGCAGAGTTAACACTCCTACTCTTAGTAGATACTTTTCAGTGTGGAAGAATTGCTTTGTAAATGCTTTTTAAAAGAAGCACCTAGTACAAAATGAGCTTTTCAAAAACCAGATTGTATTAAGATAGATTGTGGTGATGGTTGCACAACTCTGAATACACCAAAAACTATTGAATTGCATACGGCGCTATCTTGGGTCACTGCAACCTCTGCCCCACGAGTTCAAGCGGTTCTTATGCCTCAGCCCCTCCAGTAGCTGGAATTATAGGTGTGTGCCTCTGGGCCTGGCTAATTTCTGTATTTTTAATAGAGATGGGGTTTCGCCATGTCAGCCAGGCTGATCTCAAACTCCTGACCTGAAGTGATCCACCTGCCTTGGCCTCCCAAAGTGCCAGGGGGATCTCATTACAGGCGTGAGCCACAGTGCCTGAACTGAATTGCACATTTTTATGGGGTTAATTGTGTGGCACATGAATTGTATCTCAATAAAGCTCTTAAAATACAGACTGTGGCTGAAAACTTATGTCATCTATGAGAACTCTAACACTGGCTCACTTAAACTGGGATACATAATGTTCTGGTCTGTTAATCTAGCAAGTAAAAAGTTTCAGTAGTTTTGAACCCAATTGTTAAACATGTTAAAATGAAAGTCCTTCTGATTTAATGGACAGGAACAAGTGATTCTCCTTGGGGCAAGATGGCAAAACTTTTTTTTAAAAAGTTTTGCATAATTCATGATGAGATTAAACAATAATTTAGTTATTGCATCAGTAACTGACAAGAAAAAAGAACCTGACCTTCAAATTGCTATGTCAAATCTTTAACAAGATTTAACACCTTATTTAACAAGGTATTTATAGGAAAGCATATTCAAAAAACTTTCTTCTCGCTCAGAATAGTAATAGTATTAATTATACTTATTAGCTATAGTAATATATCATGCTATTAAATTATAATTATACAATTGATAACATTATCATTACGTACAATTGATAATTATAATAAAATTAATAATATATATTTATTAATGTATTATTATATTATCCTATTTTGAGTGAGGACAAATTGCAACATTAATATAATTTCAAAATACTGTATTTTTTCATAAAAATACTTATTTTTTTTACATTCTTTATGTTTCCAGATGTTTTATAATGTACATTATATCAGTACAGCATATGCACATTATTCTTAAACATATTGGGGTACCTGTTCAGATATGTTATTGATGTAGTGTTTCTCCACCTGGGTTGAGACCGCTGCCTTTTATGCTGTTTCTTTTTTTTTCTTTTCTTTTCTTTTCTTTTTTGAGACAGTCTCACTTTGTTGCCCAGGCTGAAGTGCAGTGGCACGATCTTGGCTCACTGCAACCCATGCCTCCTGGGTTCAAGCGATTCTCGTTACAGGGATGTGCCACTATGCCTGCCTAATTTTTGTATTTTTAATAGAGACAAGGTTCACCATGTTGGCCAGGCTGGTCTCCTACTCCTCACCTCAAGTGATCCGCTTGCCTGGGCCTCCCAAACTGCTGGGATTATAGCCTTGAGACACCGCTTATTTCTTTTGTTTTAAATAATGTTAAACTGCTATGTTAAATAATAATAATCTCCTGAAAGACAGAATAACATAATGCTTATGAAAATGAATTCTGGAGCCAGACTCCCTGGATTCAAGTCCTGGCTCTGCTGCTTATTATCTGTGTAACTTTGGGTACGTTATTTAGCCTTTCTATGCTCCAATTTTTTCATCTGTAGAATGGGGATAATGATAATATTATTGCCCCATAGAGTCTTGGGGATGATTAAATGTGTTAAATATAAAAGGTACTTAGAATATTGCCTGGCATACAGTGTTAGCTGTTGCTTTATCATCATCTAATGTAAAACCTGGAATTGGTTAAGACAAACAATTTTATGCTCCAACTATCTGATCAGGAGGTAAACAGCAGTAAACGAGCTTCACCCTGGAGGGGGTTGCTGTTTCTCCTGACCCTTGACCTTAGGCAGCCATTGTAGCTTCCCCAAACACACAGGGTCCTTCTGATACTGCAGTGGTGGTCCCCTTCAGTCTTCTTACTGAATACCTCATGCATTCAGCAAAATGTGTATGCTCTTCTGGGAACAGGAAGACATAGATAGGCCTCTGGTTTGATTTGAGAGAGCAATGAGATAATCTAAAGTTTCTGCTTTCTTCATTTGACAAAGATGATTTAAAGAATCTTATTAGTAAAATGTGATTAAACTATTGATTTTTCCTCTCTTTTAACTAAATCCTATTTATTTTTGAAAGATTTTAAGTCTTTCCTTTTTGAATAATTCTATTTACATTTCTAGAAATTACTACTTTCCTTTTGAAGTCATTGGATGTATATTAAAAGCACTTTTCAAAAAGAAGGCAATGTCTCTATGGAGGTTAGAGATACTGTCAGTCACCTTGTTTGCTAACTTCTTAGTTATCTTGAACCATGCAAAAGGACAACAGTTAGATTTGCATTAAAAGATGTCTACATGGTGATATATTTTGGTGTTCTTATTATTAAAGCACCTTTAAATATATTCCCTTCACTAGCCCTCTTAACCCTTTGATGATTATATAGATTTAACTTGATAGTTTTATGAAAATTTCCAGGCCTTCTCTATGCAGGTACAGACTTGTTACACATGTGCCTGTTGTTATTTTGCAGATGGCATCATATTCTGTACTTTATTCTGAAACTTACTTTGCTTTTTGTCTCTCAAAATGCATCGTGGAACATTCTTCCATGTTAGATCTATATAGATTTACCCAGTTATTTTAGTGGCTGCATCATATTTCATCATGTGGATGCTCTACAACTTATTTACAATTTTGTTATTTATGAGCTTTTTGGTTACTTCCCTATTATGTGTCAAAATCTTATATGACCCTTTCTTTTCTTTTTCAGGGTTACCTTGGCTTTCATTGGGATCAGTTTGCTGGTTATAGGAACTACACTGGTTGGGCAGCTGCCAGACAGCAGGTGAAATGTTTCCTTCCATCCAGCCATACATAGGATTGTTTTTACTCTTAGCTGTGTCCACAAAGAGAATATTTGTTTGATTCCTATGTATTGCATCATTATTATTATTATTATTTTTGAGACGGCGTCTCGCACTGTCACCTGGGCTGGAGTGCAGTGGTACGATCTCGGCTCACTGCAACCTCCGCCTCCCAGGTTCAAGAGATTCTCCTGCCTCAGCCTCCTGAGTAGCTGGAATTACAGTCACCCACCACCATGCCAAGCTTATTTTTTGTATTTTTAGTAGAGACAGCGTTTCACCAGGTTGGCCAGGGGGATCTTGAACTCCTGACCTTGTGATTTGCCTGCCTTGGCCTCCCAAAGCGCTGGGATTACAGGTGTGAGCCACTGCGCCTGGCTGTATTGCATTAAAATTTATGTTCTCTACTCATTTATTAGAATCCTGCTCACCTACTTCATCTTCATAGTCTTTCTTTGATTTTTTATCATACTTCCATATTAATCGAAAGAAATTGTTTTTTCAAAGGACAACTGAAGAAAGAAAATGAACTGAGTTACCTAAGAGAGTCTTATATAGTGGCAAGCTCATAAGACCAAGACGAAAGAAGCTTCAGTTTATCTTGTTCAGGAATTTGTCATAATAACCTAGTGGTTTTGAGCTACTTTTCATCAGAGTTATGTCCAGTTCTTTTGGTAGACTTTTATGATCTAATACTAAATGCACCAATGAGACTATAAGAATTGAACTGTACTGGTTCACCAGAATAGAATGCAGTATGCTGTTGTGGAAAAGCACATTAAAACTTTCATTATACTGTTTCTTAAGAGTGCCCAGAATGGCACAATAAAATGTTTCTATTTCCTTCAGCCTCAAAAACTGGCTGAGTGAACTGGTCCATCTGACTTGCTGCCGGATCTGTGTGCGATCCCTCTCTGGTACCATTCATTATCATAACAAGTGAGTATCTGCTGCCAACGTGCCTGTCTTTTTCTAGGTCAATTCAGCATGAGATTGACAAGGAAGCACTGGAAGTGGGTGGGAAGAAGTGGGTGGAGTCAGAGTGCTTCCAATGTGTTCATCTCTACTTCTCAGGGTGGCACAGGCATAATGCACAAAAACACTAAATAGCAGTGTTTGCAGAAAGAATATAATAATAAATATGTAGTTGTGCTCAGTAATTGGGCATTTATGGTGTGCAGGCCAGACCCTACGTTTCTTATAGTTCATCCCTATGAGATAGCCACTGTTAACCCATTTTAAAGGAGAAGAAATGTAAGCTTTGGGATTTGTTGTTTAGGGTCACAGTGAATAAGGAATGGAATCAGGTTTTGAACAAGGTCTGTCTGGTTTTAAAAACAATGAAGTTGACAGGTCTCTAGTGTGATGGAAATAGGACTAGACGTGGAGTCTGGAAATGTGGTCTCTAGTCTTAGTCCTGCTACTTCTAAAATTCCATAATTGAGCCTTAAAACAAAATTCTGCTTTTCTTTCCCAGAATTGTAGAGAATGAAGGTAGCAAAGGAAAATAATTAGCTAAGTGAAAGTGATTTTGATTGCATTTGAACTACTTTTCTGTTATCTCAATTTTTTTAGATTTAGCATCATTGTTTTAAAAGTTCTAGGCCAAGCATCTCTTTTTTACTGATTTGGTCTTTCTTTCTCATTTGTAGAAGAGAAACATTTTGCCATTTGGCTTTACCGTGTGGTACCAACATAAAAGACCCTTTAAACATTTTAAATTATATGATCTTGCAATTGGACTATGAGTTTTAAAGTGAAGAGTAAAAGAAAACACTCTGGCAGAGGTGCAGTCAGAAGAAACACCTGTAGAAAAGGCACACTTACTACATAAAGAGGAGTTCCTAACTTCTTATAGAATTGCTTCTAATTTTAAAGAAAATGTGCTAAATAATTGTATATTTGATTCTGTTTCTTCTCTGTATAGGCCCAAACAAAACTACTTTGCTTTATTGGTGTCAAAGGCTGGTTTCACTCTAGGGTAGAGATCCACAAACTGAACGGGAAGCCTATAGGCCAAATCTGGCCCACCATCTGTTTTCTGTAAATAACGTTTTATTGGAACACAGCCGTGCTCATTCACAGCCATGGCTGCTTTTGTGTCACAACAGCAGAGTCAAGTAATTGTGACAGGCATTGTCTGGCTTGCAAAGCTTAAAGTATTTACTGTCTGGCCCTTGATAAGAAAAGTTTGCCAACCTCTGCTATAGAAGGATAGGAGGGAGGAAACTATGGTGAATTTTCTGCATGGACTACCATGAAACCACTAAAAGTGATGTATATAAAGATAAAAATAATATGAAAATGCTTCAGATTAAATAAGTGAAAGCTGTGTATTATCAATGTTAAAATCATGGGCCCTCTACCACACTCTCATCATACTGCCTAGAGATCACCTTTTAAAGATGGGCCCATGTACCTCCAAACTTAATTTTTAAAAATATTCTTAAAAAAGACCAGGCACTGTGCTCATGCCTATGATCCCAGCACTTTGGGAGGCCGAGTGGGGCAGATCACTTGAGGTCAAGAGCTCGAGATGAGCCTGGCCCACATGGCGAAACCCTATCTCTGCTAAAAATATAAAAATTAGCCAGGCCTGATGGCACATACCTTTATTTCCAACTACTTGGGAGGCTGAGGCAGGAGAATTGCTTGAACCCCTGGAGGCAGAGGTTGCCTCCAGGGATTGTACTACTCCAGAGCTGGGATTGTACCACTGCACTCCAGCCTGGGCCACAGAGTGAGACTCCACCTCAAAAAAAAAAAAAAAAAAAAAAAATATATATATATATACACACACACACACACACACACAAACACACACATACACATACACACTTAAAAAATAAGGTGACTATTTACATGCTGTGGCTATTTTAGAAGACTTTGAATTTTCCGTTGTTTGTAATTGCAGGCAGTACAGACCCCAGAAGGGAGGCATTTGTGTTGCCAACCATACTTCCCCAATTGATGTTTTAATCTTGACAACGGATGGATGTTATGCTATGGTAAGAGCAGCTCATTGATATTTCAAGTAGTTGCATGTTTTATGGATTGATCAAACTTTTTATTTTGGCACAAATTAGCAAGTTGGTTTTATGTTAGAAATTTGGCTGCGTTATACTATTGTAGCTATATAAGTTATTTGTAATATATTTACATGAGGAATATGTAGTGCAAGAAAAGGAAGGAAAGTAGCCATTGTATTTAAGATGGTAAAAATTTAACTTAATGAAATGCAGACATTCTTGAGCTTGATAGTACCTTGTAAAGTTGATTCAGTTTTCCTTGTAAAATCCCTGCCAGTGTTTAATAATGTTTGCAACATTAAATTCTTTCTTTTTACAGTTGTACATATCCCCCAGCCACCCAATTAGTTCTTTCTTTCTTCAGGGACTTATATGCAATTAAAATAAATCTGGCGTTTTAACGAGGATCTAGCAAGAAAGGCAAATATTTATATCAGGTTGTCTTTCTCAGTCCTTGCCTGTAGCCCCAAAAGAAAAGAAAACGAAACAAAAGCCAAGAACAAACTACAAAGCCCACAGTAAAACTGTATACCTCAAAATAGCCTTTCATGGGGATGAATACAGGAATCATATTCTGGCATTTTTTTTTTTTTCAAATCTGTGTTTTCTGTTGCCCTTGCAAATTTGTCAAGATTTCCTGCATCTCCTTTCTGTGTCAGATAGATTCTGCAGGATAATTGAAGCTGCATGGTGGTTAAATGTGCCTTCAGTTGGTGTTTGCCTGGACAAGGGTCCTAGAGGATCACTTTCTCATATTTTCATGGTGGTGGCTTGGGCTTCAGGGAGAGTAGCTGGATTTTATTTCACTTACTATTTCCGAGGATTGATAGTCATGGTCTGGTGTGTTTTTCTGAGAAGGCATTTGAAGGGAGCCATTCTTGATTAAATGTCGCTGCAAGTAGGAGGGTGGAGAGTATTGGCACGTGTGCACGTATTTGACTCTGCATGGGTTACACCATCATTAAGGGAATTTTGAAGGCCTTTGCAAAAATTTCTACTTATTGCCATGTGTTTAATCTGTCTAAAATACATGGTCAGATACATAACTCTTGGACACTACATTTTAACACATTATTAAATTTCTCTGAATACTGAGCTCTTTCTGAATCCAAGGAAGTGTTAGCCACCTTTATGAAAAGACTTATGGGAATTGGTAATTCTTAATCTTTTCTTAGGTTGGGAATTAGTTGATAATTATGTACCTTTTTAAAGAAAAAACTAACATATATCTGCATCATACAAACACAATTTTATGTATAATTTCAAGATGTTTATGGGTTTCCCTAAAGACCGTCCAAGGATCCTCATGTTAACAGCCTTGATAGACCCCCCAGCACAATTCTCAGTGTATGTAATAATCTTTGTATTTATGTGGACAAACACTTTCATGCATTATATTTGACCCTCCCTGTAATCCAATCAGGTTAGGTCTGAGGTTTTATTATAGATGAGGAAGCAGAGGCTTAGGCAACCAATCTGACTGTCAAAGTTGATTTTGTGCTACTATAACAGAATACCACAGACTGTAACTTATAATGAGCAGAAACTTACTGGCTCACAGTTCTGGAGGCTGGGAAGTCCAATATCAGGGTGCCAGCATCTGGCCATGGTCGTCTTGCTGAGTCATCACATGGTATAAGGCAGAAGGGCCAAAAGCCCAAGAAAGCAAACCCACTCCCAGTGCCATTTTGTAAGGGCATTAATCCATTCATGAGGAGAGTACCCTCACGGCCTCAGTATTTCCCGTTATGCCCCTCCTCCCAAAACTGTTGCAAACCATAACACTCCTTGGTCATGGTTTTGTGTTTCAGAAATCATATTCCTCCTGTATTCTGGTCAACAAAGAGTTGAGTATAACCCATTTGTGACCAAGGACCTCAGAACTTTGTTGCCATTTTTCTTACTTTTGGATTGTGTATAACTGCAATTGCAATATATTAGTCAAAATTTAGAAAGGCATAGTAACTGCAAACTGTCCAATGGGTTGAGTGTAGAAAACTAAAGCTGACTGAATTTAAATTGGAGGTGGCGCAAGGCAGATGTGGGATGTTATGGTGCCATTAGCCTCCAGACATCATAATTGGCCTCTTTTGACTAAATATAAACTCTTTATCTGAAGAACATCAAAGATCTCTTCTCAGTGACTCTCCTTTTATTAAAAGAAATCTATTGTTTAATTGACAAATAAAAATTATATTTATAGTATACAACAGATGTTTTGATAGATGTATATATTGTAGAATGGCTAAATCAAGCTAATTAACATATCCATTACCTTACTCAGTGACTTTTCTAGTCTTTTTTTTCCTTCTAGACAAAGACCTCTACTTTTCTAAATTTAGAAATATTTTCAAGCTTACAGAAAAGTTGTAATAATAAGAAAATCACAGCAGAGCACCCTTACACCCTTTATCCACATTTACCTATTGGCAATATTGTGCCTCATTTGCTTTATCATTTGCTTTCTCAGGTACTGGGAAAAGCTGTCTTGTTCTATCTCTCCCTATAAAAATGTGGGTAAAATGTTTGTATTTTTAATATATTTATTTTTAAAATTTCTTTTTTTTTGAGACAGCACCTCACTCTGTTGCCCAGGCTGGAGTGCAGTGATGTGATCTTGGCTCACTGTGACCTCCATCTCCCAGGTTCAAGTGATTCTCCTGCCTTAGCCTCCCTAGTAGCTGGGATTACAGGTGCCCACCACCACACCCAGTTAATTTTTGTATTTTTAGTAGAGACAGGGTTTCACCATGTGGGCCAGGCTGGTCTCAAACTCCTGACATCACGTGATCTGCCCACCTTGGCCTCTCAAAGTGCTGGGATTACAGGTGTGAACCACTGTGCTTTTTTTTTTTTTTTTTTGAGACATAGTCTTGCTGTGTCATCCAGGCTGGAGTGCAGTGGTGTGATCTCGGCTCACTGCAACCTCCGCCTCCCAGGTTCAAGTGATTCTCCTGCCTCAGCCTCCCAAGTAGCTGGGATTACAGGCGCCCACCACCACATCCGGCTAATTTTTGTAGTTTTTAGTAGAGATGGGGTTTCACCATGTTGGCCAGGCTGGCCTTGAACTCCTGACCTCAAGTAATCCACCTACCTCAGCCTCCCAAAGTACTGGGAATACAGGTGTGAGCCACCACGTCTGGCCTATATTTACTATTTATTTCTAATATTTACATTGGAAATCTGAATACATCCAACTCTTAAGGTTCTTTCTTGCTTTCCTTCAATTCATATTTGTATCTCGCTTTTTCATAGTGAAAATCCTGTTTCCCAAAAATATCAATATGTTTACTAATTTTCTCAATTCTATAATACATCTAAAATTATTTCAGAATTGCTTCACTACTACAGACAAAAATCTAGTAAAAAGAATTCAGAATGTTTTGCATCCAAGATGGAGGGTATGTGGTGAGACACTGTCTGTGTAAGTTTCTTGGATGTTTCCCCCTTCTTTTAATGCTATTCTTTTATTCACTTAAAATACAATTGGGTTCATTTGCTTCAGTTTGCTTTAGTTTGTCATTTGTTCCTTACTGATTTACTTTTATTTATTTTTTGAGTATGTAGGGTATCAATATGTTTCCGAATGTCAAAACAAAGCAGAAAAGGTATACTTATTGAAGTGCTGCTACCTTCCATGTTCATTCCATCCCATTCCTTCCTACTCTTGTAGGTTCATTGACTTTGGTATTTCTTTTTGTAAAGATAAACACATGTATGTGTATTATTTCCCCTTTAGTCTTATGCAAAAGGTAGCATACTGTATTTGTTCTTTTGTCTTTTTCATTTAACAATATCTCCTGGAAGTTACTCTTTATCAGTCATAGAGATCAACCTTGCTGTGTTCCCAGCTGCATAGTACTCCATTATTTGTATGTACTATTGTCTATTTATCTAATTTCTTATATTTGGACGTTTAGGTAGTTTCTAATATTTTACCATAACAAGTAATGCTGTAGTTAATAGCCTTGTGCATATATATTTTCATTTTGTTGGAAGTTTATCTTCAGGATAAATTTCTAGGAGAGGAATTATTGAAATGAAAGATGAATGTATATGCAATTTTGTAGATGTTGCCAAATTTTCTTCCATTTGTGTTGTAATCTGCTGCCTTCTCCCAGGCAATGTATGAAAGTTATCCATAGCTTTATGTCAGAATGTATTGTCAAGCTTTTAAATCTTTGTCAGTGTGATGGGTTTGAAATGGTATTTCAGTGTAGTTTTAATTTGCATTTCTCTAATCTTGACCAAGTTGAAGAAGCTCTACTTTTTGAAGTTAGAGGATTGCTAGCACAAGAACATAACTTAAAATTCAAAAGTGCTACTAAAGAATACCTTTTTGCTTACATTTGACCTTTCAGACTCTTTGATCAGACTAAGAACTTCAGTCCATAGAAGACCAATCTTATCTTTGAGTGGAGAACAGAAATTTGTTGGTACTTAAAAAACTTTCTTTGGACAACTGTGTCTTTTACATTTTTTTCTTTTCTTATGGTACTTCTAGGTTGGCCAGGTTCATGGTGGCTTGATGGGAATTATTCAGAGAGCTATGGTCAAGGCTTGTCCTCATGTCTGGTTTGAACGCTCAGAAATGAAGGATCGACATCTGGTTACTAAGAGGTAAGCAGTGAAATTACTCAGAGTTCACTGGAGTAGCATGAAAGCTGATAAATCTTGGCCTTCCTACCAAAGAGGGCCGAGCAGCACTGAGTCTCAAAACTAAAACAGAGCTCTGTTTGCAGTTGGATTTTCCTGGCAAATCACCTGTCTTAGCCACTTTTTTTTTTTTTATATATACACTTTAAGTTCTAGGGTACATGTGCACAATGTGCAGGTTTGTTACATATGTATACATGTGCCATGTTGGTGTGCTGCACCTGTTAACTCATCATTTATATTAGGTATATCTCCTAATGCTATCCCTCCCCAAGCCCCCACCCAACAGGCCCTGGTGTGTGATGTTCCCCACCCTGTGTCCAAGTGTTCTCGTTGTTCAGTTCCCACCTATGAGTGAGAACATGCGGTATTTGGTTTTCTGTCCTTGCAATAGTTTGCTGAGAATGGTGGTTTCCAGCTTCATCCATGTCCCTACAGAGGACATGAACTCATCCTTTTTTATGGCTCCATAGTATTCCATGGTGTATATGTGCCACATTTTCTTAATCCAGTCTATCATTGATGGACATTTGGGTTGGTTCCAAGTCTTTGCTATTGTGAATAGTGCCGCAATAAACATACGTGTGCCTGTGTCTTTATAGCAGCATGATTTATAATCCTTTGAGTATATACCCAGTAATGGGATGGCTGGGTCAAATGGTATTTCTAGTTCTAGATCCTTGAGGAATCACCACACTGTCTTCCACAATGGTTGAACTAGTTTACAGTCTCACCAACAGTGTAAAAGTGTTTGTATTTCTCCACATCCTCTCCAGCACCTATTTCCTGACTTTTTAATGATCACCATTCTAACTGGTGTGAGATAGTGGCTCATTGTGGTTTTGATTTGCATTTCTCTGATTGTCTTAGTCAGATTTTTTAAAAATGTAATTCTGTAGTCATGGTGGGATATATGATGGGATTAGAAGGCCAATGTATTTATATTGCTGTGACTTAGATATAGTCCAGTCACTGAATCTTCAAAGATAAAAATTACCACCTTTAAATTTGATATGTTCTCACTTGAGTATGAGCAATTTAAAAAATAAATTAGATATGTATATTTCACCTCAAGGAAAAATATATGAAGAAGGAAAAAGATACCACCTTGAAGGTTAAATAATTGATAACTACTTGCTAAATAGATGATTGATTGTTTGCTGAATGATTGTTATCACTTAAGTCCAGCTACAAGCTGGGCATGGTGACTGACGTCTGTAAGCCATGCACTTTGGGAGGCCATGGTGGGAGAATGGCTTGAACCCAGAAGTTCGAGACCAGCCTGGGCAACATAGTAAGACCTCATCTCTACAAAAAAATAAATAAAATTAGCCGAATGTGGTGGCATATGCCTGTGGTCCCAGCTACTTGGGAGGAAGGATCACATGAGACCATGAGGTTGAGGCTGCAGTGAGCTGAGCCTCACTACTGCCCTCCAGCCTGGACAACAGGGGGAGACTTTGTCTTAAAAAAAAAAAAAAGGTCCAGCTAGAGATAGAGGAATGGGAGAAGGAACCTTTGGGGTTTAGGGTAAAGTTGAGCTACCAGAAACCTTTGTTAGGAAACAGCTTTTGGCCTGAGGCCTTTAACTGAAGGCACATTGGTTATTGCTTCTATAAACACATTATATTCTTAAGAACATAATGAAAAGTATTTGCTGAATCTGCTTCAAGTTAGAGAAATGATTCCCTATCTTGAGATCATTTGGCAGTGGGACACTCTGGCAGCTGCAGTCTGGCTACCTCAGCCCTTACCAGCTCTGGAGAGAAGAGCTGGGAATATAGTGTTGGCTGCAGGGAGGACAGAACCTAAGCCTGGGAGAACGTCAGTCTTTCTCAGCTTCATGGTGTACAAATGGAAAGTTCAACCTGAATCGTTTAAGGATTGTCTTGTACTTAATGGCCATAATGCAGTTAGATCCAGCAACCCAATATTCCCATTTTTCAGATGAGGAAACCTAAGAACATGGAAAAGAGCACAAAGCTCATGACACAGAGTCTCCAAAGTCCATGTCACATGACTGTCTAGTACTCTTTTTTAAGAACAGGCGAAGACACTGAAAATCACTTACTTTGGTCCAGGCATATTTGCTCATGCCTGTAATCCCAGCACTTGGGGAGGTTGAGGCGGGTGGATTGCTTGAGCTCAGGAGTTCCAGACCAGCCTGGGCAACATGGTGAAATGCCATCTCTACAAAAAATACAAAAACTCAGCCAGGTGTAGTGGTGCACATCTGTGGTCCCAGCTACTTGGGAGGCTGAGGAGGACGGATTGCTTTTAAGCTCAAGGGGTGGAGGTTGCAGTGAGCCGAGATCATGCACCTGCACTCCAGCCTGGATGAAAGAGTGAGACCCCATCTCAAAAAAAAAAAAAAAAAAATCACTTACTTTGAAATTTGAGAAATTATAATAGTGCAGATCTTCTTATACTTTTTTAGAAAGGAAACAACTTCAAATTTATTTCTTTTACTTATATCTCAATTCTGTTCTCCTTATTGCTTCACAGTTGTGCCAGTAAAGTGCAAAGAATATCAAAAAGGACATCCACCTCTCTCTTTAAAAAGGCAAAATTTTGATCCTTTTTTTTTTTTCGTAGACTAAAAGAACATATTGCTGATAAGAAGAAATTACCCATATTAATTTTTCCTGAAGGTAAGAATGGGCCTGCCTACCGAGGTATAGTTGATAACAATAAACCACCAAAAATGTGTGAGGAACAGAATTGCCATAGAATTGGCAACCTTAGCCCAGATCTCTGCTCTCACAGGAATGGGATGTCATTCTCTGAGCTATTAATCCCTTGCTTTCTTTTGAGATTTGATAAAAGTCATGTTACCTTTTTAATTCAAAAGTCATTTCTGGATAGTGAACCGAGAGCAGAATTGTCCATGACTTTAAGGGTTGCATGTATTGAAATTATCACCTGTTGAGAAGAAGTTGTACCCATAGGCCCATGGAGTGTTCAGTAGAAAAGTAAAAGCTTGTTGTTAAACCTGCTTAGTTAGAACTATTGGATTACTACTTTGGCAGGGTTTGGTTTATGATATGGTAGTACAATGCCTGTAATTTTGATATTTTAAATTATTTTATATCAAAATAATTTCTTTTAAAATTTATTTTTAAAATGACTCCCTTTAAAAATATTCATGCTCCTACCTTCACCCCCTTGCAGGAACTTGCATCAACAATACTTCAGTCATGATGTTTAAAAAGGGGAGCTTTGAAATTGGAGGAACCATACATCCAGTTGCAATTAAGGTAAAACACATACCATAATAAGAATAATAATTACTATTATAAAGATATTGTTTTGGTAATTTTATTTTGGTACCATTTTAAACTTAAAATTTGCAAGAACGAAGAACACCAGTTTTTGCATGTACCAGTCCTCTGCACTTTGCCTCTTCTGCTTTCTCATGCGCTCACTCTCTATCTGTAGGTAGATGTATACTGGATGACTCTGTGCCAGGCGCTGTATTTGCTCGTAGTGTTAAGTGAAACAGTTGCTGTTCCTGCTTTCATCAGCCTTCTAGTTAAGTAAGGAGACAGATATTTAATAGTCACATAAATAACTCTTGTTGCTGCACTCTGTGGTTCTATTTAGAAAAGTAGTCAGCTCTAGTCAGACGTGTTAGCTGGCCTGGTTTACTTTTATTTTTTAATAAATTCTATCAAGTGAAATAACTTCTCTTTTTCCTACAGTCTGATAAAGCTGTTTGGCCTACCACATTTAAAACATTGGGCACAGATGAGAAACCACCCTTAGTTCATAACTGGGATGAATTTTCTTTTCTTTTTTCTCAGTATAACCCTCAGTTTGGTGATGCATTTTGGAACAGTAGTAAGTACAACATGGTGAGCTACCTGCTTCGAATGATGACCAGCTGGGCCATCGTCTGTGACGTGTGGTACATGCCCCCGATGACCAGAGAGGTATTCCTTAGCTAACACTTTATCTAATCAGGTAGAGACAAGGAGACCTTCACCTGAAAACCTGGGTGTCTCCCTTCTCCATGCCATGCTTTTCTGCTTGCTCAGCAAATGAGTCATTTTTTAAATAATGTATTTAGCTCCCTTTAAATCAAACCATTTTATATTTAGAGATTCTTTTCCATGTTGGTGTTACAATTGCTCTTGGTTTATTGAACCAACAGATATTATCTTGGGTAACACTAATAAAGAGCGTGATAAATATATGCACATGGTAAAAAATTAAACAATACAGCACTGCATTTTCTTGATAGAACAAATATTTGCTATAATTGATTAAGAATACAAAGCATTTGAGCTGAAAATGAATCTTATATTTTAAAACAAATACAGATGATTATGAGATGGTATTAAAAACTCGATAAACTAAGATGTTCTTGTAATTTTTTTTTTTTTTTTTTTTTTTTAACCAGGAAGGAGAAGATGCAGTCCAGTTTGCTAACAGGGTCAAGTCTGCTATTGCTATACAAGGAGGCCTGACTGAACTTCCCTGGTAAGAGATCTTTCAGAAGTACTATCACTTTTTTTTGTTTTGTTTTTAAGAGAATGCCTCACTCTTTTACCCAGGCTGAAGTGCAGTGCATGATCATAGTTCACTGTAGCCTCGACTGCCTGGGCTCAAGGGATCCTTCCATCTCAGCCTTCCGAGTAGCTGGGACTACAAGTGCTTGCCACCATGCCCAGCTATTTTAAAATTTTTTGTAGAGATGGGGTATCCTTGTGTTGCTCAGGCTGGTCTCAAACTCCTGGGCTTGAACTCCTGCCTAAGCCTCCCAACATGCTGGGATTACAGTCATGAGCTACTGTTCCTAGCCTTTTTTTTTTTTTTAACTAAAAAGAGTCACTGGTAATAATGTCATTTATCATTCTAGTTAGTTATAGATTTAGCTGAAAGTAATAGTGGTTTATACATAACAATGGCTTAAGTAAGATAGAAGTTTATTTCTCACTTTAACATAACCAGTCAAGGCTGGTAACAGCTCAATCTGTATTGCTTTACTCTCCTCAATTTGTGCTTCTCTTATGGTCCACGATGGCTGTTCCAACTCTACTCATTGTGTGTAGCAAATGGCTATGAGGAAGGAATTTTAAAAAGGATACACCCATCTCTAAGAGCACAAGCTGAGAGTTGTATATCCCACTTGTACTTGTATCCATTGGCTAGTACTCAAGTCATGTGACAACACCTAGCTGCAAAGGAAGCTGGGGAATGTAGTCATTGTTCTGGGTGGTCATGTGCCTATCTCACATTTAGGGTTCTTTTTCTGAAGAAGAAAAGGAGAATGGATTTGTGAGTACGGCAGACATTGGGAGGCAAGGGGCTACTTTCAGGCTCATTCATATTTAACTCTAGCTATAACTGTATAATAAGAAAATTGAACAACTTGAAAAGAAGGGAAATAAGTGAAATATTTTAGTTATGGATCACTATGGTTTTAGTTTTTGTTTGTTTGAAGATTGAACGTAGGTGAATGTATTAGTCTGCTTGGGCTGCCAGACAAAATACAGTAGTCCCCTGGGATAATGGGGGATATGTTCCAAGAGCCCTAGTAAATTCCCAATACGATAGTACAAATCCTATATAGACTATGTTTTTTTCTTTATGTACATAGCTATGATAAAGCTTAATTTATAAATTAGTCATAGTAAAAGATTAACAACAATAACAACTATTAACTAGAACAATTATAATAATACACTGACTAATAGAAGTTTTGTGAATGTGGTCTCTCTCTTTCTCAAAATATCTCAATATTTTCCCAGGTTGACTGTGGGTAACTGAAACCATGGAAAGCGAAATCTTGTATAAGGGAGGAGTTACTGTACCACAGACTGGGTGGCTTAAACAATAGAACTTTGTTTTCCCACAGTTCTAAAGGCTGGAAGTTTGAGATTAGGGTGCAGCATGGTCAGTTTTTGATAAGGGCTCTCTTCTTGTGTTGCAGATAGCTGCATTCTCCTGTGTGCTTACATGATCTCTTCTTTGTGCAGGCGTGAAGAGAGAGTGCATGTTCTCTAGTCCTAGTTTCTTTTTATAAGGGCACTAATCCCATCATGAGTGCCCCACCCTCATGACCTCATCTAACCCTAATTACCTCCCAAAGGATCAGTCTCTAAATAGCACCACATTGGTAGTTAGGGAATTTTGGGGAGGACAAAAACATTCAGTCTATATCAGTGAAGGTTAACTATACCTACATTATAGTGGGAGGTTGAATTATTATTATTATTATTATTTGAGATGGAGTCCTCTCTGTCACCCAGGCTGGAGTACAGTGGTGCAATCTGGGCTCACTGCAACTTCTGCCTCCTGGGTTCAAGCAATTCTCCTGCCTCAGCCTCCTGAGTAGCTGGGACTACAGGTGTGCACCACCATGCCCAGCTAATTTTTTTTGTATTATTAGTAGAGATGGAGTTTCACTATGTTGTCTAGGCTGCTCTCGAACTCCTGACCTCAGGTGATCTGCCTTAGCTTCCCAGAGTGCTAGGATTACAGGCATGAGCTCCCTGGCCTGGAGACTGGATTCTTATTTACATACAGGGTATTAAATTAGCAGTCTGTCACAAAACAGTCTATACTTCAAGTCCTATACAGTTAATAAAGTTCCTGCTGTCTTTTTTGGTGTTTGAAAAACACTTTGCATGAAAAGTTTATTTGAGGCAATTGTAGCAATGTTTCTAGGAGGAGGATTTGGCCATCTGAGTTAGGCTGTCAGCCAGGAAACCAAGGACCCTCCTGAACCAGCAGAGGATGGTTTAAGGTGTCTGCCTCTAGAAGAAGGGCTGGCTAGATATTAGACAGTAAGCATTCACTTCACATCATTGATAGGTTCTTGTAGGCTGTGACTTTAAGCAAAATGACTTTATAGTAGGTTCTTGAATAAATAACATCATTTTGTTCCATGTACTTTCTTTATAATGTTGATGAGAAAAAATACTGGGTTTTGTTATAAATCATTTTGTTTAAAGTTACAGTTTCTAAGAACCTATCAACGGTGTTCAGGGAGGACTTACTGTACTCCGTTATGCAAGGGTGGGGAGTATCACTAAAATATTTATCCATTCACATAGTGTGAATACAACTAATTGTGTCCAGGTAAACCGTTTCTGATATCCATTATGCAAATTAACAAGCCACTAATTTCTACAGTGAAAACTCATTTCTAAAATTTGTTATGCAAGGACCTGGTACAGTGGCTCATGCCTATAATCCCAGCACTTTGGGAGGCTGAGGTGGGTAGATCACCTGAGTTTAAGAATTTGAGACCAGCCTGGGCAACATGGCGAAACCCTGTCTCTACAAAAAAAATACAAAAATTAGCTGAGCCCTGTGGCGCACACCTGTAGTCCCAGCTACTCGGGAGGCTGAGGCCTGAGAATCCTTGAACGCAGGAGGTTGAGGCTGCAGTGAGCTGAGATCGCACCACTGCACGGCAGCCTGGGTTACAGAGTGAGACCCTGTCTCAAAAATAAATAAATAAATAAATAAAATTTGTTATGCTAATTAACAAAGCTTGAGAAATCGATGGGCAATAAAGATAAAGATAGCTAAAGCCATTAGTGGCATCTCTGAAAGGCAGCCTTCTGATTAAATGCTGGCTGACCACCCTGGAGTATGAGTTCTTGACTAACAGGGTATATGATTTGAGTTCCATACACCCTGGAGTATGAAACTGACTAGTCCTAAGGCACAGGTTAGGACTAAACATTTGTATTACACTATCTACATTGGAATATGTTAAACTAAATGACAGAATCATAGCATCATAAAACTATATAAAACGACCTTGGTCCACAGATGTCCTATAACCCATGGTCATATGTGCAGCTGGGTTCCTTTTCCTTATTCAGTTTTTAAAACTCTTTACACACCCTTTATCTTACCTGACACTCAGCCCTCCTGCTTCTACCCTGAAGTCAGTGTCTGTAGTCTCAGATGCAGAGGAAGGGAAGAAAGCCTTGAGAGGCAAGAACCACTTAGGGGAGTCAGCCAAGTACAGACTCTCCATCAGAGTGGCTGAACTAAATCCGTCAAAAATGATCGTCAGAATTGTCCAATTTCCTTTTATCAGGCCATATGCAATTGTACAATAAAATTACTTTTAATTACCTAGCCTCTTAAAGAAAAGAAAGTGGCCTCATTGCCTTTCTAGAGATATTTGTCATTTACCTATTGGATATGAATTAACATATCTAGATTTTTTTTTCATAGATTGAGTGAAAATATAATTTTATGATCTTAAACTGGCTCTTACATATGGCTGCTCCTTTCCTTAAGAACTAAGACCTGCTGCCATTGCAAAGGGGAATTGGGTAAAATTTTGAAGTCTCTAGGGGTGGCAAGTCACAGTTTAAGTACTTAGGGCAGCATGAGGTTTATTGGGTGCTTGGGAAGGAGAATTGTACAAAATGATGTCAGATTGCTCAAGACTTAAATTTTTGCCTGTTTTGGGCTTGGATCTTGTGAAAGGAGAAAGGCCTTTCTCACTTCTTTAGTTGCCTTAGTTCTCACTATTCAGAATTCAGGTAAGTGCTGTTAATAGAAGAAGCTCATTTGGATAAAAGAGGCTTATGTGGACAATTCTGTGGACCTAACAACAAATTATCATCTTGTTTCATGAAAACTTCCCACAACTGACCCCCTGGATGATTTGTGGATCACAGTCTGTTTTTAAGTTGAGGACTTATTGCTGCGTCTTAGATTTGACTCTAGAAGCCAGAGCACTGCATTGGTCTCAAGCAGGTGTCTCTATGGAGGTCAAGTTCTGTCCTCATGGCACTGAGTTCACTGGCTAACCTATGATCATTCATCATCATCAGAAAGCATTTGGTAAACATGCACGCTTAACTAGGTTAAAATTAAACAGTCAGAGTATAAAGTAAGCAAGTTCTCAGCCCATGCTCTCCTAGCAGTTAAAATCTAAAACATTAGATTAGGAGCCAGATAGTGACCTATGGTAGTCCAAACTACTCCCAGCAACTCCTTTGTTTCTTTGTGTGTAATCCAAAGAAGGAAAAGCCTGCAGAGTTCTTATACCCAGACAGGCACCCTGGAGAGAGTTCAAAGATTTACAGGTTCTGAATGAAGGAATGCTGCTTACATAGGCACTTCTGGTTGAATGCAACTTGTTTTTGTTGTTTGTTTTATTCTGAGTCTGTTTTGGAATATAAAAGATTATAAATGCTGGAAATATAGTGCTTTGAATGAAAATACAACTTGTTAAACATAGATAGGGTTATATTTGAACAATGATTTATCTTTTTTGAATAATCATTTATCTTTAAGAAATTTACCCACACATATACAGTATACCCTTACCGTTTCTTCTGTGTATATTTTAAATTTTCCTATGGTTTTCCAGTAAGACATAGGTAGATGAAAAACCAGTATTTTGTTTTCCTTAAGGAACAATATAGAGAAATAATCCTAGTTTTAATAATCCTTGTTTCAATCCAATTTTGGGGGGTTTTTTTTTGTTTTTTTTGAGACAAAGTTTCACTCTTGTTGCCCAGGCTGGAGTGCAATGGCATGATCTCGGTTCACCACAACCTCCGCCTCCCAGATTCAAGTGATTCTCCTGCCTCAGCCTACCAGGTAGCTGGGATTACAGGCATGTGCCACCATGCCCAGCTAATTTTGTATTTTCAGTAGAGACAGGGTTTCACCATGTTGGCCAGGCTGGTCTCGAACTCCTGATCTGACGTGATCCACCCACCTCAGCCTCCTAAAGTGCTGGGATTACAGATGTGAGCCACTGCACCTGGCCAATCCAAATATTTAATACACTACCCCTTAACTTCTAAAGAAACTGAGTTAGAGATATTGTTACTTATTTTAACCAAACATCAGAGAGATTGTTGCTTCCTCAAAGCAATGTATGTTTGGCAAGTGGTAGGGCAGAGACTGAAATCTGGGTCTTCCTGTTTCCAAATCCAGTGTTCTTTCCCTTATTTCATCCCAGCTGCCTAAGCGTCATGGCATCATACAGCATGTTATTATTAAGTTAACTCTTTTAAATCACTGCTGTAAAGTATCTTTTATGTATTGGTCTTTCTGTTCGCAGGGATGGAGGACTAAAGAGAGCAAAGGTGAAGGACACCCTCAAGGAAGAGCAGCAGAAAAATTACAGCAAGATGATTGTGGGCAATGGATCTGTCAGCTAAGAGGACAACTGACAGCCTTTAGATCTACAACTAGCCCTTAGAAATGGAATGGCTTTGTTTTTTGTTTTGTTTTTATGATTGTGAATCTTTTCTACAGAATGATTGTCTCTACCTCTTTATGCCAGAGGCAGAACCTACAGGTGCCCTTTTTGGCTTTTGTTGTTGTAACATTAGCCCCATGGATTGTAAGGTGGTTTACTGAGTTCAAACAGATTCTGCTTTGATAAAATGATGGCGTCACTGTTGACTGAATGAAATATTTGTATAGAAAAAAGTGCTTGTAAAGTGTGTTTGGAACTCATCGGTAGGGTAATTCTCCAAAAATGCCCAAACTCTCTTTTTATAATTAGCCTTGCCACTTTCTTCGGTCACTTAAATGGTGAGATTACACATCAATGCAAGATGACCATTATGGTTATGGTCTACTGCAAGGTTGAAAGGAAAAATGGAGGATTGTATTTAGGAAAAGGGACAACTTTGTGGCCACCTGCTCTGAAAGTCAAAAGGAAACATAAATTAGTGTTATTAGTATGTCAGAAGAGAAATACTACTTTTCTTTTTCACAGGAGTTCTCTGGCCCTGTGAACTCCACCTTGAGCAATGTCACAGATTACAGTTATTTTGCAGGTGAATTAAGCTTCACCAAAGAAAAGTGAGTCAAAGTTAATGTGTATGTGCATTTATATGTAGGCAGCTCATAGACCACATTTTAGCCAGCAACTGGTAACAAAGAGCTTAGTTTTCCTTGTTTGAATACTGTAGATCTATACCTAGTACCCCTCCCATCTACTGATTTGTTTGTTTTTATAACCAAACACATTTTCAGATAGAAGGAGCCTTAAAAAAAAAAAAAATCACATTGAGTAACTTCAGTATGAATGAATGAGAGTGTGCGGAGCTACCCCTCACCCTCCACCCCTTTGTGGTTTATTCCCTAATTTTCCCAGTCTCTTAAACAGAAAAAATGACTGATATAATTACCTTTTGGAAACTGAGCCTTAATTTTTTTTAGAGGGAGAAATAAGTTTTCCTCAACTCACACAGCATAAGCAATGTTTGACAGCAATATAATGCCGTTGTAAACTCCTGGGAGTATTGTATCTGTTCTGGTAGCCATGTACAGAATGTGAAACTGTCTTATGAATATAAATAAATTCTATATTTCTAAATGTGTATTGCATTATTCCTCCCTCCCTTCCCCCCTTTTCTGGTTTTGAGTAAGTTAAATTCTTTTCTATTACAAACAAGAGTTTTTTGCTTTTCATTTCAGTGACATAGTTAGATTTTATTGGACTGGAACAAATGGGAAACAAGAACATGAGCCACTGACTCTCTCCCCACTCCCCCCACTTAATTCTTATTTTTTAGTCTAGTTATTTGGACTCTGGCCCTCTGAACTCCACCTTGAGCAATATCACAGATTACAGTTATTTTGCAGATGAATTAAGGCAATTATATCTAACTAGGTAGGCCTAGCATAGCATATATCAGTTTATACTCTTCTTATCTATCTAGCTAGTTGGATTTCATCCCAAAAGAGAACTTGCAAATAGGTTACTCTCATGGCCATCCACCTCTCTGTTCTCACTCTCCCTACTTTCCCTTTGTTGTTTGGTGAAATTTTGCCCCACAAACTCTATTAGGAGTGATCTTGACTGAAAATTAGCAAATTCAAATATGTATGTTGGGTGACTTTTTGTCTTATTTTTTCTCAGAAAAAGGAGTGCCTTAAAAAAAAAATTCTATGTTAATTATGGCATGAATTAATAAATCTATTTCATTAGCCCAGTTCTCAGAAAAGTGTATCTTTCCAAGATCACTGTATTAAAAATAGCAATGCTATCATGTATTCACTAGATAACCTAATAGTGTCTCTATCTGAACTTTTGTCTTCCAGGTCTGATTTACACAACTAGTTTTCAGGTTGCTTGAGGAATTGCCATGTTGTTGAAACCATGTTTTTGGAAAGCTGATATTGCTCAGATTTAGCGTATGCTCCTTAGAACTCCTTTTACGTTTGCTTTCCTTAATATTATTCCATACCCACTTTAGAGATACTGTGTCCAGAGTTTAGTATTCCTGAGTCTTCCCTAATTGTAAGGCGATATGAAGGGAAGGCAGGATTTGGTAGAAAAATCTCATCAGATAAGCTGAGCTTTCATTGAACCCTTGCATACATTCATTAATTTAGCCTCAAGGTTGCCCTATTTTTATTTCAATTCTTTGTCCTGGGGTCATATTTATAGACAGCAGGTTCTAGGAATGCCAAGGATTTCTAAAATATGCCACATTCTGGGACTGGATGAGCAGCCGTGTGTGAAACAGTAAATATACTGCAGCGCAGGGGAAATAGTTTCAGATGCCACTCTGGGGCAAAGAACAATCTCAGGGGAAGTTTCCCTGCGTCAACAGACTTTCCAAGGCATAGTCACCTTTGTCTTGGTGATTTGCATGATCTCAGTGCCTATGTTGCAGTTTGCACATTCTGTTGATATTTTAACGTACATGATAAGGGTTGTTGGTTTCTTGTGAGTACAAATAACGTATTGTAGTCATGAGGACTGCCTCTTGGCCAAAGCTGCTCTCACGTTTTTTTTTTTCCTTCAATACGGCACTATTGACCTAAACTGCTTCATGATAGAAAAGGGTAGGTTATGATGGGAGGATAGGCCAGGGGTGGAGGTGGGGTGGAGGGAAGTGGGGAAGGGTGTTGGGGGTGTTGGGGACAAGGCTGGGATCTGGGATTGATACTGCTAGGGGCCCTAATAAGTATCTTCACAAAAGCTGTGTGTTTGCTTTTGTTTTTTAACAGTTGTTTCTAGTGGATTGATACTAGATATGATTTTTTTAAAAAATAATGGTTAAGATAATGGGATTAAAGGGATAAAGAGTCATAAAACAAAACATTTTCTTTATTTTTTCTTTTTTTGTTTTTTGAGATGGACTCTCACTCTGTTGTCCAGGCTGGGGTGCAGTAGTGTGATCTCGGCTCACTGCAACCTCCGCCTCCTGGGTTCAAGTGATTCTCCTGCCTCGGCCTCCTGAGTAGCTGGGATTACAGACATGCACCACCATGCCCGGCTAATTTTTGTATTTTTAGTAGAGACAAGGTTTCACCATGTTGGCCAAGCCGGTCTCAAATCCCTGACCTCAGGTGATCTGCCCGCCTTGGCCTCCCAAAGTGCTGGGATTACAGGCGTGAGTCACAGCATCTGGCCAATTCTATTTTTTATTACACATTCCTTTTTTAATGATCAGTACATATTTATTATTATTACTACTACTGCTGTAAGCAAGCATTGGAGATTGGCTCATAATGTCTTCTACTTGCCATATGTCTTTATTAGCTCAGTTCATATTCATACCCCTTTTTATAGGTGATAGAACATAACTTCTCAATCCTGTGTCTTTTCATTCAGAATCAGCACTTGTTCCCCAATAAAATAATTTCAGTCATCCACAACATTGTCTTGCAGGCCTATTTTTCAAAATTGGGCAGTGTAGGGAAAGGGCTTTCCTTTGGTTTTGTTGTTTTCTTTCCTCATGTATAGTGACTGTGCCCAAAATGTAAGGAAAATCAAGAAATTGCAAAAGATATCATCAGCTATTCATATTAAATGTAAAACACTAAGTAATACTTAAGTTAATTTGTGTCTTGTAAAAACTTTGGAATGTTATATAATGAACTAATGGCACATAATTTCTGAGAGTTTTAATTAGACTGTTGGTATTTGCAGCATCAGCCTTAGCATACCTATTTTTAAATTATTAATTGATAGATAATTGTGCATAATTATGAGGGATAGTGTGGTATTTTGATACATGTGTACAACGTGTAGTGATCAAATCAACATAATTAGCAAATCTATCACCTTAAACATTTACCGTTTCTTTATATTGGAAACATTCAAAATCCTATCTTCCAGCGATTTGAAAATATACAAAAAGTCAGGCATGGTGGCTCATGCCTGTAATCCCAGCACTTTGGGAGGCTGAGGCGGGTGGATCACCGGAGATCAGGAGTTCGAGAGCAGCGTGGCCAACATGAAACGCTGTCTGTACTAAAAATACAAAATTTAGCTGAGCATGATGCCGTACACCTGTAATTCCAGCTACTTGGGAGGCTGAGGCAGGAGAATCACTTGAACCTGGGAGGCGGAGGTTGCAGTGACCTGAGATCGCACCACTGCGCTCCAGCCTGGGTGACAGAGTGAGACTGTCTCAAAAAAAAAAAAAGAAAATATACAATAAATTGTTAACTCTAGCCACCCTACAATGCTATATAGAACACCAGAATTTATTTCACTTATCTGGTTATAATTTTGTATCTGTGAACCAATCTCTCCCTATACTCCCCTTCCTCCTACCCTTCTCAGCCTTTAGTAATCACTATTCTACTCTCTACTTCCATGAGATCAAATTTTTTAGCATCGACATATGAGTGAGAACATGTGGTATTTATCTTCCTGTGCTTGGCTAATTTCACTAACCACTACTGTCCTCCAGCCTCAGCCATGTTGCTGTGAATGACAGGATTTCATTCTTTATATGGCAGAATAGTATTCCATTGTGTATATACACCACATTTACTTTATCCATCCATCTGTTGATAGACACAGGTTTATTCCATATCTTGGCTACTGTAAATAATGTAATAAACATGGCAATGCAGATATCTCTTTGACATTCTGATTTTCTTTCCTATGGATAAATACTCAGTGCTGGAATTGCTGTGTCATATGGTGGTTCTGTTTTTAGTTTTTGAGGAACATCCATACTGTTTCCTGTAATAGCTGTCCTAATTTACATCTTCATCAACAGTGTATAAGAGTCCCCCTTTCTCTGGACCTTTGCCAGCATTTGTTATTTTTTTGTCTTTTTTATGATACCCATTCTAACTGGGGTGAGATGCTATCTCATTGTGGGTTTGATTTGCATTTCCTTGATGATTAATGATGATGAACGTTTTTTGTAAACTTGATCATATGCATGTCTTCTTTTGAGAGATGTCTATTTAGATCATTTGCCCATTTTAAAATCAGATTATTATTATTATTTTGCTCTTGAGTTTTTTAGTTCCTTGTATGTGCTGGATATTAATCTCTCGTCAGTGGCTAGGTGCAGTGGCTCACGCCTGTAATTCCACCATTTTGAGAGGTGAAGGTGAGAGAATAGCTTGAGGCCAGAAATTTGAGATCAGCCTGGGCAACACAGTGAGACCCTGCCTCTACAATTTTTTTTTTTTTTTTTAATCAGCTGGGCATGGTGGTGCAT